AGTAACTGGAGATCCCACATTGGTCCCTGTCTTGTTTACTTTCTTCTCATACTGCTTCTTTCTTCTCTTGTGGCTTAAGTGAGGGTTTCGTCTTATTTGGAGGCGCTATGCCTTATGTTCCTTGACGTTACCTCCATTTGTACTTTTCTTGGGATTTAATGGGGTTAGGGTCAGAGAAAACTAGAACATGGGTGAAAGCAAATACACGGGAGTGAGTCTTCTTATTCTGTTAGGTCTGCTGTGTCATGAAAAAGCAAAAATCACAGAAAACGCAATTGTGAAGTTTAAATGGCCGCTGGCCCCTTTGACGTTAGGCTGAACCACCCGCTGAAGTCATTCAAAAGGAGGGTTCGTGAATAGTCCCGTTAGAGGACTCAGGGGTGAAAGCCCCCCTGGGGATGCCCACTGGTGGCACTGGAGGCTAAGATCAATCTGACGGGAAAGGGTCGGTGGCGTTAGGTTGGTTCAAAACAAACCAACAAAGCAACAGCTACTATACCTCGATCCTGCCTTTCCAGGCAGGTCGCTTTGCTTCTGGAAATTTAGCATCTTCTTTTCTTTCCTCAAAGTTGTAGGAAAACATACTTGATTTTCAATGTTCTGGGTCTTGGAATAAAATATTTTCTATCTCTTTGAGATATTGTAAACTTGTGCATGATCCCGAGGGTTCAAATTTCCTTTTGCTTTAGTCATCTTTACAGACTGTGTGAACTTCCAAATACAGCTTGGCTTATCTTTGTTATTGGAAAAAAATACATCCTATCAGCCAGCCCTAGAAGTCAGGAAAGCTAACATCTCTGGAGCGTGACATTAAATCCCCCATTTCCTTGACTAATTATCTTCTGTGTGAAGTGCTTGCTTGAGCAGAGGGCGAGGAACCTTCCCCAAGCTTGGTGTGGGCAGCCGTGGACAGGCTTTAGCTCTAAAAACCTTCGTAGGCTGCTTTCGCTGAGAACACTCTCAGCTCATGCGTCATCAAAGTTCTTTCACGCTTCTTTCCAGCTTTGACTAGCTATTATGAATAATACGTATTAATACTGGAAATAAGAAAATAGGTTACGTTAGTAAATTACTCTGTTTAATATGACAGATCTTCGACAACTCCGGAAAACGATGAGGCATGTTAAGAAATATCCCTTCGAGGCAGCAAGTGAGGAACGCTTGTTGAAGATACATTCTTGTCTCAGAGTTGCTACCACTGACTTCCGCGTTGAGACATGGCATATGGTTATCAAACCTAGATCAGGAGCCCTTACCAGTGGCGGATACTCTGGGCACTAACAGCTGAGGCCTAATGGCCAGTGTCACCAACATGAAAGGAAGCTTGGACACCAGTGATGAGGAAAAGGGTGGGGACAGGCTGAGACCATGAAGGGACAACTGCTTTTGTCCAGAGCAGCAACATCTGTGAGGCTCCCTTTGCCTGCAGCCTGCTGAGCAGAATATTCTCAATTATTAACCATTCTATCAGATCAGGTACACCTTTATCTCTGGTTTGGAAATGTACAAATATTCTAGTAGCAAAGGAAAGGGTTAATCCAATTCAAGCTTGAGAAAGGCAGAAACTGGTCATAGGTTAGAGGAGACACAGTCTTAGGCTCATGGCTGGTGGAATGTTGACTGAGTTACTGGAGTTGAAATGTGGCCAGGGAGATTTTAATAAATATTTATCATGTTCCTTTCTTTCTTTTTTTCCTTTTTCTTTTCTTTCCTTTCCTCCCCTCCCTTCTTTTCCTCCCTTTTCTTTCTTTTCTTCCTTCCTTCCTTCCTTCCTTTTCCTTCCTTCCTTCCTTCCTTCCTTCCTTCCTTCCTTCCTTCCTTCCTCTTTCAAGAGTTTTGTTATAGGTGGAAGAGAGATAGGAATTGGATTCCTTGGAAATATTCTTTAATCTTGGAAATAGAACTTGCATGAACACAGTAGCCACTAGCTACATGTAGCTATTTAAATTTAAACTAGTAAAAAATTAACAATTTTTTAAACGTTTATTTATTTTTGAGAGAGAGCGTAAGGGGAGGGGCACAGAGAGAGGGAGACACAGAATCCGAAGCAGGCTCCAGGCTCTGAGCTGTCAGCACTGAGCCCAACACGGGGCTGGAGCTCACTGACCGTGAGATCATGACCTAAGCTAAAGAGGGACGCTTAACTGACTAAGCCACCCAGGCGCCCCCAAACTAACAAAAAGTGTAAATGAAACTAAGCGTTCAGCATCTTGGTTACATTAGCCACATTTTAAGTGCTCCACAGCCACATGTGGCCACTCTAGTAGCACAGAGAGGGAACATTTCTATCACGGCAGAATGTTCTATTGAGCAGGCTGCTCTAGAATTTGAGTCCCTTTGCAAATATTAATAGCTACTTTATTTCTTTAAGCCTCCCTCCCTCTTCGAGCTTTTTCATTTATAAAATAAGTCTAACGAGGTCTCCTTCAGAGGACTGCTATGAAATTTACAAGTGACATTAACCATATGTAATGCACACATCCCAGGACCTCACACATTATAATGCTTCATACATGGTCGCTGAACAAGGCCATTCAGGCTTGAGCCAAACACACTTACACTTGAAAAGCACCTGTAACCTACAAAGCGTTTTTGAAACAATTGCCTTGGGAATTAGACCATTTTTAGAGGAGTGAGTCTCTCACCATGGTTGATCAGAGCCATTCTCAGAGTCATAAGGAGAGCGAGGCTTTTGCTGTCCAGAATGCTTTGCATCTTGATAGGAGAGGGAGAAAAAGATATGAAAATCCCTCATGAGGAGCCATGTTTCTAGCCCTGAACTAGTTTTTTTTTTTTTTTTTTTTTTTTAAAGTGCAATGAGATGAAAAATCTCTGCATGGTGTTTATGCTATAGGTGTCAACACAGCCTTGGGCCCAGACAGCCAAACCGCGGCTCTGATGGGAACGGCGTATACACAGCAAGGGTAATTACTTCGGGCTGCCGCTGCCAACATGATTTAGCAAACTCCCTGCCTGCAAAGGACTGATCACCCCCTGGAGAATGGGCCCAATTTCATTGCAACTGCACAGACCTACCTGAGTTTCCCTGTGCCACAGGCTCTTTGAGGTCTTTTGTAATTTGCATTCCTTAGGCAAATGGAATTTAAATTCCTTAGGCAAATTTCATCCTGATGGAACACCAAGATGACATGCATGCCATGATCTCATTGTTTAGGATTCCTGCCTTATAATCATTAATGTATGCTTCAACAGGCAGGTGAGGGAAAGCATCTGGGCCAAATTCCACTTTGCTTTCAGGAAAGCTCCTTTACCTTTCAATTGCTCTTGCTTTTGAAAGCATGTTCACAAGGATCTCAGTTGTATTTCATGGTACGCTTGTGTGGTGGGAAGGGCATAATGAGGGGCTGCAGAAAGTCACAGGACCTGGGTTCTGGTTCTGGGCTGCAGGTTAAGAAGCCCGTGGGGAGACGTTACCTTTGTAACCCTGAAGCGACGCAAGATCAGAGGGGTTGGGCCAGTGGCGGTAAGAGCATAGTCTGTTCTGGGCTGGCGGCTGGGGAAGAATCTGTCCTGTGTTTCACAGGGAGGCGTGAGACGCGTCTTTGTACATTTCAAATCATATATTCAATTTGCAAACACAACTGTAAGTTCTTTGGAGCCTTAACTTGAAACAAAACATTGTCTCGTGTTTATTTTTACCTACATAATTTTACCTTAGGCATCTCAGGAATAGGGATAATTGAATTTGAGACTTGGATTAAGGTGATTATTTTGCTGTGAACCTCCATTTTTCCTAGAGTTTTTCTCAATTTTGATGCTGTGGCCACGTGGATTGGCTGTTTCGATGAGACAAGTATCTCTTCCTACTTAGGGAAAGGTCAACAAATGGGAGATGGACAGGGTAGTGGACCTGGGCTGGAAGGAAGGAACTTGGCTCCTTTTTCCTGCTCTGGGGACCTTAATTTGTCCCTACCTCTCTAAGGTATATCCTTATTTTAGAATAATACTTATGCTTCATGGGGCATGTGTAAAGCTTAAATTAAGTGTGTAAAGAGCACAGAAGTAGAATAAAGACCCATGAATAGTGCTATAAAATTCTACACACCATTATACATAACACACACACACACACACACACACACACACACACACACCCTAACTAGTGATGCTAGAAACTACTGATTTGGTTTGGATCATTTTCCTTAATTTTTCTTTAGATTTTACTTTTCAAAAATCTCCTATGTCCATCAGCTCTTAAAATGTCTTAGAAACTATTTAATTTTGTCAGAATTTTCCATGTTATTCTATCTATAAATTGGCAAGTAAGATGTTTTTGAGAATAGTTACCTTGAGTTTTGGTCAATTAAGATATTAAGCTGCCCTTCCTGGGTGACTAGAGCTGTCCTCAGCCAGTACGGGGCACTTCATTTGTCCGTTAGTGTCCGTGAGGGCCCGGTGGGGACACCTTGTTCACCGCTGTTATCTTCAGTACTGAGCACAGTGTGAGGTAAACAGTCGGTGTTGAATAACTGACTCAACTGAATCGGGTCGGTAAGGATGTCTCCTCCATCCTGGTAACCTTCCGTGGCCTGTCAAGCAACTAAAGTAGTAGGTATTACAGGCTCAGAATGTTATGTTTTGATCTTTATTTTATTTACTTCTGAGGAAACTAGGTCTGGAAGAAGGGACCAAAAAAAAAAAAAAAAGGCCTTTGGTCTGTGTCTTTTTAAAAATTACGAGGTTTGGCTTTTTCCCCTTTACTGTGCCCAGAGTGAGTGAGTGTCAAAATAAAACCTCTTCTAAAATGGATACCAGTTTCCTAGAAACGAGATTGCTTAAAACTGTCACAAAGAACTCTTCAATTTACCAGCAGCGTCCACAGCCTCCAGAGAGTCTCCGCATATCTTTACCCGCTCAAACTTTAGCAACATCTACTCTGTACAGTCTCAAAATAGACCCTGATGAACCAAAGCGAGGGCCCGCATAGATGGCAGCCTCGGTTCTCTTCCTTTTCAAATGACAAGGGCTAATTCAACCAGTTCCATTTAGCAAATAAATTTATTAGGTGCCGACTAGTACAAAACACTGAAAGCTGCTGTAGGGGGTTATAAAGATGTGTAGGAGAGCCCTGCCCTCGAAGAGCTTACAATCTAGGCAATGAGTCACAATTAGGAAGTTGTGGCGTATCACGTTAGGTGACTTACACAGAATTCTTGGAACGTTCACGCCCTCTGAATTCTCCTGTTGTCAAATATGTAAGGAATCCTTTCCAAGGAAAGCTGAACAGTGGGAAAGAGACCTTTTGTGGAATTAAATGGTGACCTTGGCTTTGCTTCCGAGCATCTTTCTCTTGCCGATTCCTTATTCTTGTAACTTTCTCAGCATCGTTTCCTAACGACCTTTGTTAGGAGAGAATCTCCGTGCTTCCTGAACCTTCACCAGGGCTTCCTGTTTGTTAGTGGGTGGCTCAGTCGCAGTTCGGCCTTGGAATTGTTTGCAGTCCGATTTTTCCTTCAGCAAATTCGATTTTCATTTTGGTTGACGCCAGGATGATACGCTTTGCAATCTGTGGTTCTGAGGGGAAGAGTGAGATGCAATACAGAGGAAAGCAGGCCAGACCTTTCCCTTACTTTAAACATTTAATAGTGCACTTATGGGTTATATTCTGTACAGATATAGAGCAAGTTATAAACCTCTTCTTTTATTTTTTTTTCACTTAGACTGTATTCATGTAAAGTGTATTTACATTAGGAAAAAAAAAAAGCCTTGAGGTACAAAACCCAAAAGAATATCTGAGGTATAAATACAAGTATATTTTAAATAATAATTTTTATCATGCTTTATCTAGGTTTGAAAGCACAGTGGACATGTGGACACGTTTCTTTATCTTAATAGAATGGTATATACAATACAACACACAATCTTACAAATCTGAAAGCTATTAAAATTGAATATACAAGTATATCTTCATGAGGAACACTGATATCCAAAATACCCAAATTTTAAAACTCTAATCTTCCCCCCGCTGCAAATTCTTCAAAGAACCTTTGAAATAACACTGACAACGGTAACTATAATATAACAAAATAAAACTCCTTCTTACAACTCTCATTCATACATTATTCACTTTTGATCCATACAAAATAAAGTCACTAATACTGTCTCATGAGTCAATCTTTATGGCTACAGTAAAACCTGTATAAAGACCACCCTTCCAAAAAACTGTGCTGGTACTTTTTTGAGTTTTCTTCCTGTGATAGCTATTTTCCTTTACCACTAACATACATTCCAGGGGCATCAATATAAAGGAAAAGAAAAAGAAAGGTAGGGAAAACAAAGCCAAGGGGGAAAAAAGTCATAAAGCCAGAAAACCCATTTGCTGAAAAGGCCAAATCCAATTACTAAGTATGTGCAGCCTTCAGAAACGTTGTGAATAACAACAATCCATGCCTGTTGTTAAAATTTAATATCTTGGTTTAAATTTACAGGGATTTCCTTGAGACAGACATAGTTTCCTATGTTTTCAAGAGTTTTGGTTATGAACATGAGAAAAAAAGAATTCCAACAGGTAAAAAGTTCTGGGGCCTGATTGAGGAGCAGATGCTAGTGTTCACTTGTTACATCTCGACTTAAAAAACAAACACATAAACAACAAACACAAAAACCCCAAATAAAACTGCTTTGGAGCAATGAAGGGTGGGGATGGGGGGAGGGGCAGAGTTTTTTCCCTGAACTGATCTATACTGTGTCTATAGTAAAAACTATATCACTGTTTGCAATCAGATCTAAAGATATACTGTGTTTGAGATGGGACACCAGAATCAATCTACTACAATTACTTTAAGGAAAGAGGAGGTTGGTTTAAAAAAAAAAAAAAAAAAAAGGAATGTGCTTAATAACTTGGGAAAATAAAAAAACAAGTGGGCAAGGGTGTTGGGTTCCCTTCCTGGATGGATCCATGGGCAGTCAGATATTCCAGGTTAAACTGAACCTGACGCATCAGTATCCTCCTTGGAGGCGCCTCAGTGTGCCAGCCACTGCATTCCAGCGTATACATCTGTGCCATTCAACCAGCAACAAACACACATACACACACTCCTCTGTGCAAACCTTTCTTTGCTCATCTCAGTGAGAAACATGTCAAAGAGTACCAACTATTCCAGTGGATACACCAGTCCCTCAACACGCTGCAAATAAAATGACATAGGTACACATACGCCAGTATCACAAGAGAATGAAGTATCTTCATTATTTTCCGTAATGTATTTATAGTTTTGCTTCTCAGAAGCAATTTGAATAAGAATAATTTTTTTTTTTTTGCACAGTCTTCTATATTCCAGTCAAGGTCTATACTCTAAACCTTAAACAAACAGGAAGCAGCTTTGAAAATGTCTTAAATCGCGATAGTCAATTCCTATACTCCAACTTGTCGTTTTCTTTGTTTCAGGTTAGACTCAGAATGCATTCTTCCAAGGACTGGCAAGAATTCTAGAAACAAATATCCAGACAGTGGACGCAGTCGCTTGGCTTCAGTAATCACCTAGATTTGGGGTCTTTGGTTTCAGTGTTCTGATTATTGAAAGAGTCTCGGATCTTCACAACTTCAGCCGCACACAAATGTCCGAAAGATTTTGTGTACCACTCTGGCATGTGGCCCCTATAATGGGAAGGAAAAGCACAAAAACACTGAAATAAGCTGGAGGGGATGTGGAATACATTTCCATTTCTTGATCCAGAAACCTTCTACATAAAGATCATATTCCAAGGTAATCTGGCACAGCTGTTATACCTCTGGAACCACAAGTTTCTCAAGGAACAACATACTGAGTACAGATACTGAGGGACAGTATTTGGAAAAAGGTTTAGCATGTAGATCAAAAACCACAGACAGTTGAAAAAGTACTGAGATGTAAAGATTTCAAATGAGAATTTAACCACTCTGGAAACTTTTTAGAGGTTCTTTTTTTGTCTGTGTTGCTGAATTTCACAAATTTGTGAATATGAACACATATTCATCGATGGCACAGAGTACAGGCCTAATTAATTACTAAAAGGGTATGTCATATATTCAAATATCTTTGAATATAAAATGAGAATCATCTGTTTGCTACTTCAAACTCTCACTTCCTGTGGCTTTAAATTCATTGCTTTTGTACCACATTTTCTAAGGGACCGAAATCAGGAAGCAATCCCCCAAACACCAAGGAACACGAAGGTGTTACTTTACAAAAACTGCTCTTTAGAGAACAGACAAGACACAATGATGTGTTCATTTAAGCCATTCTCTGTATCAGACAAGAAGTCTCATCTCCTGCATGACCCTCACCGTGTCAAAAATTATAATCAGAACATACCTTAAGTCGGCTCTGCACATGTAGGTGAGTTTGGACTTCCCTGACCCGCAGGGTTCGATGAGATACCTGGACAGGAGCACATTGACTCTCACCCCCACCACAGGTGCCCGGTCGTGATCCACAGAGGTGAGTAAAAGGGCACATGCCCCCTTAGGTAAATTAGTCCTCCATGTTCTGCAGAAAAAATCAGAGGGAAAAAGATGGAATTTTCTAGAAGCCACGTTTAAAATGGGGCCCCACTCTCAGAAGACAGCTAAGGGGCAGGATCAGTGGCTATGCGGTGTGACCCAGTCCTGGAGAGATGGTGTCCTTTGCACTATTATGCAAGGGCTCTTGAACTGAGTAACTCTGTGCAGAGTCACACCAGTGAGTATATAGTCACATATCTGTTCTTTGAAAGAGAACCAATTTTAAGTGTGACTGAAAGCCATTTTTACATTTCACAAATTTATCTGCACATGGACATCCAGATGAGTGTTGCTCTGTTGGAAAGCTCTGGACTAATGAGGAGATGTCTCCTCATAGATTTTTGGAATTCCCCTTTCCATCATGTCTCCAGAGAATTTGTGAATTACATATAATTCAGCTTTAACCACAGTGCCCTGGGAACTTAGACATTATTTCCTGGCTTACGCATTCACTTGCTGTTTCTAGGGAGAAAATCTATCCTAAAAGGGCCAAGAATCTGCTACCAATGAGCATCTTCAACTGAACGTGGCTCTATTTCTGAGTTCAGTTCCAGAAGTGTTCAAACAGTTTTCAGTGGTGAACACACTGTTGGAATACATATAGATACATTCTCCATGTCTGGAAGGGTTCCACACATTCTGTTTTACATAATGTTACCATCTTATCACACTCAGTGGCGCCAGGCTCACCCTGCCACAGTAAGCATTTTGGAAACTCTCACCTCAAAACGACGTAGTCCCGGGCAGGGTGAGGTGCCATACTGTTTTGGACATACTGGTAAATTTCGGTTTGGCTGTCTAGGATTTCAATCACTTTGGAATCCAACAGGTCTACATCCCAGAGGTGCTGCTCTTTAAGTAGGCGCTTTAAGATTTCCTCAGGCATTGCAGGGATTTCGATGGTTGACCTCCAGAGCCTCAGAGGGGGCCCTTCACTCACCTGAAAAAAGGATGTATTTTTTGGTGCTCCGATAATTCACACAGACCTACACTCTCAAGGCAAACTGCTGGCCTATTTATGGTCACGTGTTTATGGGCTAATTATTATCTATATGCTGGTGTCCCCAAGTATATTCAAGAGCAGACCAGAAAGCCTGGCCTTATACTAGTCAAAATTATTAACATCTGTTTTCTTGGGACCTATATGAGAGTCAATGCCATAAAATAAGCTGATTTACATATACATGCTAAAGCCCACCTGGCACCCAGATGTTCCCACTGTTCATTTCTTTTCCGGGTGGCGGAGACAGGGTCAAGAGATACTATCATGGGCCTGTCATGCTGAGTCATACAAGACGCCACTGCCTTCGTGGGGCTTTTAGTCCTAACAAGTTACCTTTTCCACCAAGTCCTCTCCGCTTGTTAAAGGGCCAAGAGAAGAGTGGCTGAGAATGGAGGACAGTACAAGGGGATTCTGAGCAAATTATAGAAAAATATGATCATGTCATAAAATGCCCTAAAGCCCAATACCACTAGTAAAATATTCCAGGGGGCTCTGGTATGGTTCAGTGGCACAGAAAGATTTCATTAGGTGGTCGGATTCCTCTGAGGAGTGTTAGATGGCTGTTACTCTTTGCTGGACTGTCTTCTCCCCTTACCTGGGGAGCTCAATCACCTGGCCGCCCAGATCTACAAGGGAGGGAATGGCGGACGGACTCCCAGAGAGCCGTGTTGGCCACAGAGTCTCCTCTCTGATGAACCTGAATCCCGACCACTGGCTGACAGCGGGGTCAAGGCTTACCTTCTTATAGGACAGTTCAGCCTGCTCAGATGTAGAGTAGCTGACCCAGCCTTTAAACTTCTCCTTCACCTCTTTAAACAGGCTATCCACACAGTCTTGGAGGAAGTGCTGGTAGTCGGCTGCCTCGTCATTTCGCAGGCGTCCCAATGCTTCTAGGGTGAGGGGCTTCAGCTCCTGCTCTGTGTAGGAATTCCGACATCGACTCATTTCCTCAGGAACCTGTGGGGGATGAGAGAGAAGGGGGTGAGTCTGCCTGTACCGTTCCCGATGCCCACAGCCGAAGCAGCAGCGTGGGAGCCGCAGACCCGCAGACCGGGTTCTCAGGGAAGTGAGGGTCCCCACTGCTCTGTTTCCGGCAGACGGACGGTGGCCCCACAGCCCTAACGTGCTGTCCCGAGGATATGAATAGACCACCTTCATAAAGGTGTCCAAAAAGCCTATTCTCATGTAAGGTATTCTTCTGCTTTGGAAAGTCACAGTAGAGGGTAAGTGACTAAACCAGGGCTTGCTTCTCAGATACAGAACTTATTTCAAAAATGTGTCGCTTTGGTTTCTTAAGGGGTATGGAGATAGGCAAACTTCATTAAACACATTAGCTCTAACGAGCTTCTACGTTATAAAATCAGGCGCTCTTACACAAGAAAATAAAGACATTCTTGAGCCATGTATATGATCTCCAGCTGTGGCAAGATGTGAACAACATGGCACCTATGACCTGGTTCTGACGTTATCCTTAACCAAGCACCGATCTCCCGACGCCTCACCTGGAAGAGCTTCTTGCACTCAGCAATCATATGGGCCAGCCCCTGCGTGGCGGCGAGGTTTTCATTCAGATCTTTCTGATCTGGTTTACCCAAACTTTGTTTTCTTTGCATCACCCTAGGCAGAAGAAAGGGAGGAGGAAGATTCAATATCTGTATGTTTTAATTAATGTGTTATTCTAGGGAACCCAGAGAAGAGGAAAACACCTATTTTACTGGAGCCTATTTGTTCTTAAAGTTTCAGGAGAGCTTCACTTTGGTCACAAAATTCCTCAGTTTTATCAGCAAAGCACAAAAACCCGTGAAAGGGATGGTTTTTGGTGAAATCCAGGCTATTTAAAGCCATCACGTTAAATAGGTTCCTGTTTAAATAGGATGGCCCGGAAGGTCTCTAGGTGGTAGTGGGAAGAAAGGGCAGTTTCCAGGGGTGCGCAGATGGGAGGCGCCGGATGTTGTGGGAAATAGCGTCACTAATTCTTTATGGTTTAAATAAATACAATCCTCTCCTGAAGGTGAGGGGACAATCTATTGTTTCCTAAAGGTTTTGTCTTAATCTTATCTGATCTCTCTCTCCTGCTCATCTCTAGTTCCCTATCCTATTGAAGATGGAATGCATCTGTCCATGTGAGAACCAGATAAAAAGATATTTACGTATTGTATGGCTTTCCGAAGCAAAGCTCACTTTGACTAGCAGAACCAGGATGAACCTGGAGCTAAGGAATATGTGTCAAGCACCTTCAGAGCTGAGGAGAAGGATTAGCTGGATGGTTTCACGTTTGGGGTTAAGTCCAGCCAGTGACTCCTTTCTCCCCTGCTCCGCTCTGAGGCCCCTATGTGAAATATTCACATCAGTAAGAAGCTCCAGCTGCCATGTCCCCTTCAGATGTGGGCAAGTCACCTATTAAACCGAGCCTCCCTGCCCTCATGTCCTCGTTTATAAATAGGCCTTGCCAGTATCTTCACCTCCTAGCATCCTTCCAAGGATTAGATGAAAGAATGAAGGTCAAGGGTGTAGTCTTGTGGCTGGGTCAGAATAAGTGCTGAGTAAATAACAGCCTTTGTTATTTGCCAGATTCTCGGACTTCTGCTACGGCCACTCCCAGCTTGTATACATCTGAGAAGAAACTCTGCACACAATGGGTTGGGGCTGGGTCTAGCTTTGAGGTTCAACACTCTCCTTAGTTCTGTGAGACCCAGCTGACCACCTTACAACTCACAGCACAGGCTGGGGCCTGGCTTTGTTGACTCTGCAGAAGCCAAGGCAGCAAGGGCTTTATCCTCATCCAATTCTGGAGGTCAGTAAATCCATGTGATCCTTTGCTGGCAGAGAGTTTGGTGGCAATGTCACAAAGGGCGCTGGGGGAGGGGGGAAGCAGGGCAAACACCTGCCATAGCAAAGCACACATCCAAATCTCTGGCTCAAAACCTGGTTGTCACTAGATGGTCTGGAAAGTTACACCCTCCCCACCCCCACCCAGGGCTGAGAAGGAAGGAAAAAAGGAAGGGAGCTGTGAAGGATGGAAGCTAAACTCGTCTGTGCTTGACTCGGGTGTGTAACCAATGAAAACACAGGAAAGGTAGGCTGCTTCCATCTGGAGAACAGAGAACGTGCGCGCACATCTCGTCTGACCCGTACCTTGGAGAAGAATTCTCTCTTTTCAGGGTGTTGAGGTGGAAAAGGGAAGGCGCTAGGCACACAGCCAGGTTGGTGGGAGTCATCTGGTTTTCTTTTACGGCAGCTGTGACATCGCTCAAGAAATAAAGGAGCGTCTGTAGAACCTCCCGGTTCTCATCAGGCAGAAGCATAATGGCAGCCTTGATGGCCTGGAGGCGCTGGTCCTTGGGCACACCTGTGTAACACCGGCATTTCCCCCATCAGCTCAGTGCTTTTCCACACGCATTGCAAGGAAATGACCCAAAGCAAACAGCAGCACCAACCACCTCAGCCCAGTCCTGAACGAGCGCTTGCAGAAAGTGTACTTAAGGTTAATATGGAAGAAATTAGGGACCGCCACCAGCGTCACTACCCTCAAGTATTTCCTGCCTGTGGAGGAGTTAAAAAATTTTCAACACCCACAATGCCAACATCCTAAATCCACCTCAGGGTTCAATTCCAGATACTATGCCTGTTCTTTTGGTTTTTGGAATAGCTTTTCTAAGTATTTTTTTTTTTTTTTTAGAACTCCCCAGTTCATCATTCTCAATTACTGAAAACACTGTACACAGTTATACTTTTGTTTAATTTCAGTGAAAAATCTTACTGAAGATATGTACAAGGGGATAAAAACTTTCTTAGCCTTTATACAAAATGTCCAGTATCTCTGGGGACCTTCCATAACTAGAACTGATCTGCTCATTCGTAAAACGGGGAAAGTAAGCTGCTGAAATAGTCCGTTGAAACAACAGATATTTTTACTAGTAACTTCTTTACGCTTTAGAAAGTGAACTGGGAGGCTATTATAAAAATATATGCTTGAGAACTAAACCAGTAAAAAAAAATTCATGTCGAAAATGCTGGGCCCAACCTTCAGGTCTCCTTTACTAGGCAAATTTGCCTTTTAAGAGGCATGTGGTGGAAAAATCAAGTCACTTGAGTGCAGTTCCATAGGACACACTGATTAACAGCTCCATGGTTACAATACACAACAAATACCTTGGTGGGGAAAATGTGACCTGTGTTTTCAGAAAATCTGAAAGGATGAAACAAATAATGAAATAATCCAGACCAGCTCCATTTCTCATAAAATAAGGTCCGGTGCGCCAGACTGAAGACAATTTGAGCACGGAGAGAAGCTGCTTTTATATTACGTTGCTGTAACACCACACTGAGCCAAGAAAAACACAGGGCCGTAAAAGCTATAATCCTGATCTTGATCATTAATTTAGACAACTGTTTGCTTTAAGCTTTACTTAAAAGTGAGAAGGGGATGGGTATTGTTTTCCCAAGTATTTCTGGCAGAAGCAGAGATGAATAACAGAAAAAGATTATTTATTCATTTTCCAGCAAGATAAACCACACAGATACCTGTGACGTTTTAAACATAACAGGCCCCGCTAGAGATGTGAATCAACTGAAATATCTTGGTACCTGCTCTTTTAAGCATCTTAGAGAAGACTGTTCTAGAAACGAATGAAAGAATGAGCTTCTGGAACACAATGTAAAAATGTGTAATTGCTTCAGTAATTAGAGAATGATGATAGGGGAATTTTTGCGTTCTTTAACAGGTAGACAGAAACCTATTCTACAAACAAGGAGAAAATGAAGAAATAAATAGATGACATGTGTTTCCAAGAGGTCATCATGTGGCTCTGAAAGAATGGCATCAAAGGAAGCCAGGTGGTCCAAGTTTGGACCAACTTGGCCAGGTGGCCAAGTTTCAGGTGGTCCCACTTTTCCCCAAGGCCAACAAGGGTAAGATCAAGGAACACTTACACTGATAGATCTGCAGAAAGGTTTCCGAGAGCTTGTTCGTCATTAGTGGCTCAGGAAGGTCTCGAAAATATTGCTTCAACATGTCTGCCACGTCATAAGCAGACTGTCCCTCATAGTTGACACAGTCTATGGCACTTTCATTCATCTGGCGCAGAGCCTGAATCCGGGACTTGACGCCTGATTTTCTGAAAAGCCCAACCTAGTGGAAGAAAAACATTAGGTGTCAAGACAGAAGCAACATTTTCACTACAAAACTATAAAAAAAAAGTAGCATGCATCTGAGGTCCTATAATTCCTTGGGACCTGCACAAAGCAGTTTTCACCTGATCCAAACAGTGGTTGCGGAGGTAGCGCATGGCCTGCTGAATGCTCTGGGGCAGGGGCTGTCCTGTGCGCTGCACGTTGACTGTCAGAGGGACCCCGAACACATTCCGGTCCTTATAGTCTGGAACCTTGATCCTTTTCATGAACTTGGGCACAGCCCTATTTAAAGAACAGATGTGGGGAAGTATGTTTATTTGTCTGTAGACTCTTATCCATCTTTGCAGGTAAACCCTGTGAGCTTTCTATCTGTGCTCCTAGGGTGGCTATTTAAATTAAATAAAACTACAAATTTAGTTCCTCAGTTGTATTAGCCACAATTCAAGTGCTCACTAGCCACCTGAGACCAGTAGCTACCATCTGAGTGAATATAGCACATTTCCACCATCACAGACAGTTTCACGGGACAGTGCTCTTCTGGACCTTCTAAGAGTTGGGGCTCTGAGGCCCAGCAACATTTTCTCCACTGGGGATTCTCCTCCCACTATTAGCTCTGAGAAATGGGTTTATATCCTTAAGGGGGCTGATGGGCTTCCTTACAAAATGGCGGCACAGGAAGGAACAGAAACAGAAAACAACATTTGAGGTCATAATTTAGGAACTTCGTTAACAGAATTTGAAAAACACGTTCCCATTTGTCCTGTAAATGAACAAGAATCACTTCTAAGTTCTTAATGAGATGCAAAATATTTAGGGTATTAAAAAGGATCATGTAACGCCAGATGAGAAAACAGCAAATATGTGACGTTGGTCCAACATAATGAGAACCAATTCCAGAGCTCAACAGTGGGGGCCAAGCTAATGACCTGAAGTCAAAATAAATTCTTCTGCTGATGACCCTGGAGAATATAACATCTTTAGGTTTCTAAAAGAAGATGGAAAAGAACAATGAAGGTTTTGTAAGCCTACCGCAGGCTCCCTGGAGTCCTGAAACCAGGTCCAGCCCCAGCAGTATATGGAGCAGCAGGAAACCGATGTCATGCATTTAATGCTGTCAAGCAGAAATTTCAGCTCTACAAGTGACCTCTCTAAACAGGACAAGAAAGGGCAAGGCCGAACAGGAAAAGAACTTTGTGTAGAATTTCTCCCTATTCCATGGATCCCACAATGCGAGGCTTTTACATTTGGTTTTGACTCACTGGAAAAACTGACCAGAACTCAAGAAGTAGTACGGACTTTCAGATTCTTGAGGGTTTGGTGGGAAGGGGGTGGGCAACTCAGAACTGAGAATGTGAAATATGCACTTTTAAATAGCCAGCCGGGAAAATATGACTCTACGCACAGAGGAGCAGTGCAGAAGACGGACTGCTTTGACTTCTGAGTGCTCACCAACAGCCACGGCACGGTACTGTTTATAGCCCTACGAAAGGGAAAGCTGAAGCACACAGCCAAATTTGTATTTCCATACAGTAATTTTATGGTATCATGGCCATAAGTGTGCATAATACTTGCTTTGTCGGGGGAGAAAAGCCAGCGGCTGAATGTGCAAAGAACACATTACGATCTCCACTGAGAATCTGAAGCATGCGGGGATAAACCGGTCAATACTTATTTCTGTCATTCAGAACAAACAACTTCTGTATTTAGCAAGGCTCACATAATAACAGCCTTTGAACGGGAGGTGCTTTGATGCTGAAGCTAAACTCACTACGAGTCCTGAGGAGACGGGGAGCTGGAGAGAAACAACAGTTCCGCTGCTTGGCCGACGCGCCCAGGCCCCTCTGGTTTGCTCCAGAGCGTCACTGAGGACACGGGCTGCTTCTGTTTTTATAAAAAGTAGTGGATCCAGATGATAAACACTCAGATTAGGGAAAGGCTTAAGGTTACCCAGCTGACACTGTGAAATGCACCTGGATGTCAATCCAGAGATAGTTTTCTGCTTTGCACTGCTAGCAGAAAACTTAAGATACACACACGGGGTCACATTTGTGGCCCATCCAGCCTAACGGTGTCCATCTCACATGATACACACCGAGGGCCGTAGTTTTGAAAGTAATTATGAACTGTTCACCTGAGCGATTTTACAAAGGTAAAGTCTATATTTAGTCCATAGTATCTTAGAGCAGTGAATTCCTTACGTTTATTATTCACTGTAAGTGACTTTATTAGAAAGGAACATGACCTAAATTTTTTAGCACAGGTAGACTTTTGAGTGATGCTTCAAGTATTTAAATCAAAAATGATTTCTAAAAACATAGCCGGAGAAGGTTAGAAGGCCCAGTACTGTACAGCAAGCATTTCACAGTTGGTCTCAGCATCCTGTGACCTGAGTGACATTTTTCTTTCCTTTCTTCCCTAAAATGATCTGATCGGTACATCTCTTAACCCCCGAGGGTCTCCTTCTAACACTGGGAAGGAGGTGCCTGTACAGGGTGATGGAACAGCCATGCATTCTCACCCCATCAACTGGCCCATTTGTCACTCCGGCTGCTGAATCTCACTCCACCAATCCCACTGCTTAGTCCCAAAAGTTACACCGGTTTGAGCAGTATCGGATGTGGCCTCAAGAACGCAGGGATTACATTTGGAGGATAGCCAAAAGTATTCATAGAGGATGGGACTGTCATATACTCAGTGCTGGGGCAGCTTCAGGGAGCTGACCGAAAACACTTCCAATTAGCTGACTGAGCACAGAGAACTCTTACCAGCTAAAACCGTGCTTATTCGAAGGTGTGTGTTTCTCCAGCAGGGCGGTCAGCTTTAGGAGCGAGTACTTCTGCAGCAGGTTCATCTGGGCCACAGACTGGCAGTTAATCTGCAGTGATACAGAGTTCAAGCTCGGACGATGGGAGCTCTGGAAACTGTGCCATCGTAGCCTGTGCCTGTGGGAGAGGAGCAGGGGAGGGGTGAGCACCAGGGAGAGGAGCAGGGGAGGGGTGAGCACCAAGGAGAGGGGCAAAGGGAGGGGTGAGCACCAGGGCTTTTTAACAGGCAGACACAAAATCAGCGGCGGGTGGCCTGATGGCCTCTTATCTTAGGAACCCAGAGGACTGACTTCTATTCCATTCTTTTCCTACCCCCCTCCCCCACGATAAGATACACATGACAGAAATGGCCACCTTAACCGCTGCTAAGTGACAGCTCGGGGGCATAAAGTCTCTTTGCACTGTTGCACACCATCACCACCGTACAGCCACGAGACTTACTTCCGCTTCCCAAGCTGAAACTCTGCGCGCATGAAACCACATCCACCTTTTTGGATGTTAGGATCTCCTGTTCTATCGGTTTTCTCGGGAGCTCACGGGGCTGGGGATGCCCTGACCCCGTGCCCCCCCAACACGAGAGCGGAAGTAGTCCGTTTCTGACCTCCCTCCCTATCTCCGGGAGGGGGAGGGAAGCCAAGCTCTCACCTATTGGACCTGGTCAGAGAGGCCCCGACCCCCGAATCCCTCCTTTCCGGGATGTCGGAGGGCTCCTCCGGCTCATTCAGTGAGTTTCCGGTACTGTCCAGGTCACTGGGCGTGGCTCGGTCATTGTCCACATCCAGGTGGATCTGTTTGGGAGACGACGGGCACGGAGAGACCGAGTCCAGGGCGGAGTCAGAGTCCCCCTCATCCGAAAACTTCTCCGACCACTGGTTGACTATCCTCTGCATCCCCTTCACGTGGTAGAGGATGTCGTCCAGCTCGGGGAAGATGTCCTCGTGCTCCAGGTCGGCCAGGTCACCCGAGCTGGAGTAGAGGACGGAGCCCGGCACGTTGTCATAGATACTCAGGCGGCTGCTCACCGAGCTGGACGAGTTGCGCCGCTTAAGCTCCTTGGGGCTGTCGCTGCCGTCGTCCCTCCGCAGGCCGATGTGGCCGGGGCCGTGGAAGCTTCCAGTCCTCCAGTTCACGGAGCTGTTCTTCCCGGAGGGCGAGAAACTGCCGCTGGAGAGGGCCTTGGGGAAGGTGCCGGGCTTGTGATCTTCCGGGACGTAGAACACTGCGTCCTCTGGGTAGGTCTCGCGGTTCTTGAAGTTCCGCTGCAAGACGTTGTGGAACGTGGACTGACTGAACGGGTCGAAGCCCTCCAAGTACATGCCCCCGCGCTTGTTGCAGGCGCTGAGGCTCCGGGTCCTGGTGACCGGGCTGGGCGTGCTCACGGCGCTGCTGGTCTCCGACTGGCTGCTGCTGCTGCTGGTCTGCGTGGAGTTGGAAACGCTCCGCTTGCGCACCGCGGGCACGTTGATGCGGTTGCCGTTGAGCGCGGAGATCTCCACGCAGTTCAGCTGCTTCAGCTTCTCCTCGTCCACCCCCTCCTGCAGGATGGGCCCGCTGATGATCAGCCCCAGCTTGGAAGGCGCCTTGTGCTTGCCGTGGTGCGAGCCCTTGAGCTTCAGGCTCTCCATGCGTTTCAGCAGGCTGCGCGTCTTGGACTTGGCGCTCTTCTCGGGGCCTTTCGCGCCGAAGCCGAAGCCGGACAGCTCCCCGGGAGACGGCAGGCTGCAGAAAGAGTCGTCGTTGCCCACGAAGTTGCCGGAGGAGCCCACGCTGATGACGGAGTTCGTGCGCGCTGTCGCCGCATCCCCGGCGTGGGGCGCGTGCGCCGGGAGGCTGCGGGTGCTGCCGAGGCTGCGGACCGAGGCCACCTCCTGGCGCTCGCTGAGGTCCGTCAGCATGCTTTCGTGGCTCGCCGCGTTCTTCAGGGCCGCGTCGTCGGGGGCCCCGGGGGCTGCGTCCCGCTTTGAAGAAAAGACATCGAACTCTTCCAGCCGGGACCACCTCTTGCTGTCCCTCTGGAAAGTCCACTTGCCGCTTATTGCACAGGGCTCGTCCTCGTCGGAATCCTCACTCTGCAAAGACAGAATGGAGGCATTCATCACCGGGACCGGCAGGCAGCAGGGAGCGGGGCGTGCGCTGGGGGCCCGGCGGCCAGGACACGGCTCGTGAGGCGCCTTCGGTGTCAAGTCCCCCTTTAGATCTTTATTTTATTATTATCATGATTGTTACTTTATTATTCTTTTTTATTTATTTATTTTTTTTAAATTTGTTTCTAGGAGAGAGAGAGAGAGACAGCGTGAGCAGGGGAGGGTCAGAGAGAGAGGGAGTCCCAGACTGAAACAGGCTCCGGGCTCCGAGCTGGCAGTCAGCACAGAGCCCGACGCGGGGCTTGAACCCACGCACCGCGAGATCATGACCTAAGCTAAAGTCGGACGCTTAACCGACTAAGCCACCCAGGCGCCCCTTATTATTCTATTTTAAATGGCAAAGATGTACGCTGCATGTCAGGACTCTAACAGGAAAAAGCCTGACCGCGTGTTTCAAGCTAAATAAGAATCATTTTGTAGAAACTGTTGGATCTATAGGCTGTTCTTTAATTGCTCACAGAGGAAGCCTCTAAGATCTGTGAAAATTCCAGGCATGCAAAGTATTTTGAACTGGAGTCAGCAACGGGTAGGACTCCCTCTGGTCTGCCTCCAATTTTGCTGTCTGTTGATAGCATGTGTTTATATTCTCTTTTGCAATCAAAAAGGTAGTTTTCAAACACTAAGAAGAATGGACACTGACATCTGGAGCCACCCTAAAAGTATACAACATCTCCTACCAGACCCATGGAGGCACCAAGCAAGGTAAGTCACTGCATCTCTTTAGTCTGATACGTTTCAGCTTCTTACCTGTTCTTTTTCATCCCCTCCCCCACCCAGACACGGGGTCTAGAGCTAATGCCACATATGTCCTGTGAAGTTTCAACCTCAGACATGCTCCAGGCAATTTAACAAGGCCTCACAAATACCCAGGCCTGACAGCATGGAACATTCACAAACACGATGTAACATCTTTGCTGATTATGCCTGATTTATGGGCAGGACTCAGGGTTACGCTGTGTCACAAACTACTGCATCTGAGCCTTTTAGGCGGGATACCAAAAGGCACAGTTCAGTATGATGCATGTCTTTCCCACCGGTGTGGAAAGGATCACATGGCCCCCGTTTCACAGGACAATGAGTAGAGAGCATTAAACGCTGACTTGTAGACTCCTCGCCACAGCCCAGTGGGTGGTGAGGTTCCAGTTCATTTGTTTAAAAGGTTTAACTCCCCCGAGAAGGCAGCTTGTTGCAAGACAGGGACTCTAGGGTAATTAAAATTTGCACTCTGAACAGTCAGAAATATGCTCTTTGACCAGCCTTATTCCTGTTGACTCTAATTTGTGACACTCACTCCCAGGCCTACACCCACTTCTTCTCTGAAGATCTCATAAAAGGTCCTCACATTTCATCCACAGGAGTTATGTGCCTCCATTCGACTAGAATGTGTGGGATTTCCTGCCCTTCCCTCCGGCTCCCCCAACTCTCCCTCCCTCTCATTATTCTTCAGCACCCCACAAGCCAGCCTTCCCCTTCATCCCAGCAGCTCTGAAACACGGTTACTGTTATATGGGAAGGGCGGGAATTCCCAAAGAACTTTAGCTTTAATTTCTGAAGGGAATAATGGAAGATTCACTGGGATTTCCTAAGCCTCATTCCTTTAATCTGGAGTAGGCACTGAGTTAACAAGGCAAAATAATAGAGGATTTGTTCCAATCGAAAACAGTTTAAAAAAAACAAACAACCAAACCCTCATAGATACAGAGAACAGGCTGGTGGTTGCCAGAGGCAGAGGATAAAAGGTATGAACTAAACATCCACTTATAAAATAAGTAAGTTTCGGGGATGTGATGTATAGCATGGTGACTATAGTTAGTCATACTGTATGGTATATTTTAAAATTGCTAAGAAAGTAGATCTTAAAGATTTTTATCACAAGAAAAAAAAACTGTTGTAAGTACGTGTGGTGATGGATGTGTACTAGGCTTCTTGTGGTGGTCACTTTGTAATATATGCAAATATTGAGCCATTGTGTTGTACACCTGAAACTAATATGTCAATTTTATCTCAATTAAAAAAAAAAGTAGGAAAACTGCGATTTATTGGCTATCTGCAACTATTGGTTTCAATTACATTAGGCTACTTGGTCTCTGGTAAACGTGACTGGATTATAACATTAAAAATGCAGATGTTTTTGGAATAAGGAAGTAAAAAGAGTTTGAGAGACAAAACCTCTTACAAAACACAGTTTTTGGTCTGCCCCCTTTTCCTCCCATCCTATTATGTATCTTCTATACTCACTCTCTTCCGATGGGGACTAATTTCCAGCTTCATCACTGCACATTTGTTTAAAGTGTTTAGACGCCTACAGAGCAAAGAAATAATATTAGCAAAGACAGGAAACCAATGATGGGTAGATAAATCTTTTTTTCCAAATAGCTGACACGCTCAATGAGCTTCTTTATTCTAAAAATTTTTTCTTTAATGTTTTGTTGAGAGAGAGAGAGACAGCGTGAGCAGAGGAGGGTCAGATAGTGGGGGAGATACAGAATCTGAAGCAGGCTCCAGGCTCGGAGCTGTCAGCACAGAGCCCGACGTGGGGCTCAAACCCATGAACCGTGAGATCATGACCTGAGCTGAAGTCGGACGCTCAACTGACTGAGCCACCCAGGCGCCCCTGAGCTTCTTTATTCTATAAAAAATTATAATTTAGAAGAGTATTAGTAACTTCATTAAGAAGTGAATGGTGTAAAAATACCTTTATACCTTTCTTCACTTTTTTTTTTAAAGCTTTTTTTTAATGTTTATTTTTTGAGAGAGAGAGAGAAAGAGTGCAAGCTGGGGAGGGGCAGAGAGAGAGGGAGACAAAGAATCCAAATCAGGCTCCAGGCTCTGAGCTGTCAGCACAGAGCTGTCATGCGGGGCTTGAACTCATGAACTGTGAGATCATGACCTGAGCTGAAGTCAGATGCTTAACTGACTGAGCCACCCAGGCACCCCTACCTTTCTTCATTTAAAGTGACTATTACTATTTTACAGTAAAATGACACATTGCTATGGTACTATCAGCTACTTCTTATTCTTCACGGAACCAACAACTCTCAATGAGAAATTTTATTCTTCTAGAGCACCTAGGTTGGGCCATTATGTAGCTCCATACAGGGCCACGAGGTAAGAGCCACTGAAGTCTCCTTTCATAGAAATGGGAACAGCAACAAGCAACCAAGCAGAGCTCTTGGTAAAATAAATAGTATATTCTGTCTCAAATAAAAATTCAAAGGCAGAAATAAACCAATTTTTAGTAATCTGTAATAAATAATAATCTTAGACACTCTATTCAAAAATTTTATGAGTTCTTAGACAGAAAGGAAATTGGTGCCTCTTTAACACCCAGTTCTTTTTACAACATCCTGTATAGGACAGGATAATGTTTGCCACAGTCGTAGCAACAGTGCAAATAATTACTCAAAAAATTCTTATACAGCAGCTTCAAGGGTCAAAGCCTTTAGAGTTCAAGCAAGAATAAGAACCTGAGTCAGATTCTTCTTTGGAAAAAGGGTCATATTTTTACTTTGGGTGCTTTTTTACCACTGCCCAGGAGTAACATGTCCATTTATAATTAGGGAAATAATTTAGGTTTGCTGAAAAGCAAATACTTAAACAAAACAAAACAACCACCAAACAACCCGCACCCTCCCAAAAAACTCCCAAAACAAAACTCTTTATTGGGGGAATAATGAAATAGCTGAGAAAAGAAACCCTTTACATAGGCAGGAATACATGGTATGTAAAAGTGTGAATGACAGCCCTCTCTCGTAGCTTCCAGACGACCACCCCTTGGTCTTCCTCAAATAAGCCTTGAATCTGCTGTCTTCCGTGGCCAGCTATCCGGTTTTTCCTGCAACTGCAATTCTTCCGTTTGCAGAGGAAAAGAGCATTTAATTCACCCAAATTCAAACTGACCCTAAGACTGCTTCAAGGCTTTATCTTTCTGATTCTGTTCTTGCAGCTTGTCTAACAACTTGATGCAGGAGGACAGAATGTATTTTTGCCTGCTGATAAGACCGCCTTTGATTTCATAGATTACGTGGTAGCCTGTTTATAGAATAAACAAAGATAACTCAGGATGCCTATGTTGCCTATGTTCAGAAAAATTCTCTTGGTTGATGGGGAGGGAAAGAAAACAAATAACTCAGAAGAAGCCCAAACTTTAAAATGAGTAGCTGTAAGGTCTCTCCCTAAGAGGCCTGCCTTACTTACTTACCCACAGTGTTTTAGTTCTCAAATGTTTTCAAGATTTAAAGAATCCGGCATGGTTACACTTAGTCTTAGGTCTGGGTTTCATTAATCAAACCTGTAATCAAACACCCACTTGAGTTCATTTGGGCTTTAATGGTTGAGTGGTGTTTATAACCAGGTTTACTGGGCATGGAAGCCCACAGCAGCGGGGAGGGGCCCGCTTCACAAACTCTAGATCTGAGTCAAACAAAAAAGACCCAGGAGGAAAGTTTTATAAAGGTCAACATTATCTTTTTTATGTTGGTAGCACCAAGCTAATGGCATTTCGGTTTTGAAGCCTGGAAGTTATTCCTTGAGGTTTCTGTAAAATTCATCTGTTCCCAGGACCTCCAAGGAATGCCCACCAGTGAGACCTCAGCTACTGAGGGAGACAATAGTGACACGAAACAGTTGTGGTGACATGAATTGGGGCTCGCTCTGGGTCAGGCGCTTCATATGTGTTGTTTCACCTCGGTCCCCACAACAGCCTTATGGTATGTATCTTACTATTTTCCTTCTTTTTACAGATGAGGAAAGGGGGTTTAGAGAGGTCACGTATCTTGTTCAAGGCCACAAGAATAAAACGTGGTGGCTCTAACATTATAGAAAATAGTATCTCCTGCATTCTTTTCTAGAATTAATCCTAATGATGCTGATACCCAGGAGCAGCTTCTGCCCTAAGCATGATTCCTGAAATGAACAGCAGCACACTGGTATCACACACCATCTGTCCAGAAGGCGTGGCTGCTGCACCCCCCCAGGGCCCTCACAGGGCCCAGCTCCACAGGAACGTGTCAGTCTTATCTGCTGGGCAACTTGTTCTCTGCTCTGAAGGAGGAGGGGGGACAAGGTGGGCCATCAAAGCCTCAGGAGTTTTGCTGTAGGGAGCGGCAGGGACCCTGATAAAAGCATAGCAAGTGGGCATTTGGGCCTTGTATTCAGAATGAAAACAGAGAAGAGTACAAGAGACATGTGAGAAAAGAAAAAGGAACCATTTTCCAAGTAAGACCTGACAAATAAAAACTGTTCTGATTCTTAAAGACACATTCTGGGAATCGGTGCAATTGCTTGAAAAATTTGCTTTAAAAAACTAACAGAGTTGAAATCTGTTATGTGGCAGGCTGCTTTACATAGTTCAGACATTTCTGTCTGAAATGGGCTGTTTCACAACACAGTGCAGACTGAAGATGATGGTTTGGGTATGTACTTATCATTATATGATTATCGCCTTATTTACATAATTCTTCGGTGTGTTTATAGGAGGAGTCAGTTGTTAACTCCGAAGGAAAACAGTGATATGGGATATTTTTCAGATGCTACAGAGACAAACTCCTGTCAGAAGCGGTATCCTAATGGTAGGCCATAGTTTGCGTTATTTTCTGTATATATTGCAAGGCGAGCAAACCACTCCCCCAGTATTAATATCGAATGTGAGTCTCCCATGATCTTGGCCTTATCATTGAGGTTGGATTATATAGCAAGACTGGGACAAAAGCCAATCTCTCCAAGGACATGAATACAAAAATCCCTTGCAAATATAAGTGCAAGACTACTGGTGCCTGTGGTAAAAACAAACATGGTAGTTGCTTAACTGTAACTTTTGGTCACTACCAGACTTTATATTAAGATAGTATTATCATGATTTTCAGGAGAACATTAAATCTACAAGTCTTCTGCTCCAGGTAGACTCTGCTAAGAGATCAGCAATGTTATAGGTATAAGAATGTTTATAATAAATCTTAACGCAGAACACCAGGGTAGGGTGTATGTGGAAGCAGCTGTAATGTGTGTGTGTGGGGGGGGGGGGGGGGGGGGGGGGGGGCGGTTAGTGGGCAAGAGAAACCATGTAAAGATTATTTTATTTAAAACAAACTTTAAAAAGTTTTTTTTAAGGGGTGTCTGAGTGGCTCAGTCAGTTGAGCATGTGACTCTTGATTTCGGATCAGGTTATGATCTTGTGGTTCAGGAGATCAAGCCCTGCATCCTGGGGCTCTGCACTGTCAGCAGAGGGATTCTCTCTCTCTTCTCTCTCCCTGCCCCTCCCCTTCTTGCATCCATGTGCGTTCTCTCTCTCTCTCAAAATAAACATTTTTATTTATTTATTTATTAAAAAAACCTTTTTTTTGGTTTTATTTAATTTTGAGACAGAGAGACACAGAGCATGAGTGGGGGAGGGGCAGAGGGAGAGGGAGACACAGAATGTGAAGCAGGCTCCAGGCTCTGAGCTGTCAGCACAGAGCCCAAAGCAGGGCTCAAACTCAGGAACAGTGAGATCATGACCTGAGCCAAAGTCGGACGTTTAACTGACTAACCCACCCAGATGCCCCTTCCATATGTATTTAAAATCAACTTCTCAAAATACCTCAACAAGGCAAAAAAGGAACTCTACAACAAGAAGTCTGTCTGGAGAGAACTTGACAAATCACAAGGAAAATTTTCAAACTATGCTACAGCTTCGTGATTCACTGGCCTTGAATTCCATGGGCAGAGAAACTATGTGAAAGAGGCTAGTCTAGTGAATGAGACAAATGTCACTAATCAGGACAACCGGTACCTTCAACTACTTTGCTGACAACTCAGAACCGGTCGTGCATTTCCAAAGAAGGTGCCCCATCATTTTCTTCAGAACATTTGTTTAGACCTCCTGAAAGAATCATTTGCCTTGAGAAGTCTATGTGAACCTGAGGACAAGAGCCACTGGGTTTTCCATTAAGACAAGCTGATGACTGTTACGTGAATTCTGAAGCATTTGTTTTGAAGAGAACACTCAACCTCAAGACTTTTTCCACATACTCAAATGTGGGCCTCTGATTTGGGTCTACTATTTTTTAGAGCATTTTGATACTTATTACCTCACTGCCTCCTCACACTTCACCTTTGTGACATCACTCTCTGTATCCAAGAAAATGGAAACCAATGAGAATACATTACACAGTCCAAATACAGATTAAGGTCTAGCTGTTTTTAGGCTTTTCCTACAAAAGATCCAGTAGCACAGATTTATTCCCTTCAAAGGGTGGTGGCTTCTCGAACAGAACAGAGAGAGCCATGGAAATCACAAAGTGCAGACGATGACTTTCCCCTCAGCAAGGTAATTAAATTTCAAGCAGATATTAAAAAAAAAATTTTTCGAGAAAGTAATCATGACCCCTTTGGGCTGCAATGCAGCAGTGAAATTTTTATGACCCAGAAATTCCTAAACTGTTGCTGCTGCTTGGAGGACCTACTTACTAAGTGGCGTAAAATGTGTGAAGTGGGTAATCTGAGTCAGCGTGTAGATATTTCCTAGGATTCATCTTATGAGTGACCTCATTTATATGCGTTATCACCCTTGACGAACTGAAAAGTAAATTAATTCTACCCCATAGCTAAGCATTAAAACATTTTAAAAATGTCTGGAGTAGTTTATATTCCAGATGTTGACTTCTTCCCTTCAAACTGCATTAGTGACATTTTTTTCATTGCCAATGACATAGCTATGGTATTACATACTACAGTGTGGGACTTGGGCTTCGGCGCTTTTCAGAAAATGTGTGCATACTCTGGGCATTTCTAAACAGTCATTTAATTGGATTTGAAAAGCGACAGCGTTTCTGTGGTTAATACAGCATTTCTTAAACCATGAGTATTAGTCTATTTCATACCCATTCTAAACATCTGATCTTTCCCTAAAACCACTGCTTAAAGTTAGCTGATTCAGGAAACACTGCATTACTGGGGCGCCTGGGTGGCTCAAGTTGGTTGAGTGCCCGCCTCTTGACTTCAGCTCAGGTCATGATCTCATGGTTTGTGAGTTCGAGCCCCTTGTCTGCCTCTGCACTG